CCAGAACAATTTGCTTCAAGACTTTGTGCTGAATTAGGTTTAGGTGGAGAATTTGTTACAGCTGTTGCTTATAGTATTCGTGGACAACTTGCTTGGCATCAGAAAATTTATGCTTTCAGGTAATTACTTTGTTTGATTTTATAATATGAATGATGTTGTGGCTACCTTTTCACTCACTCACTCACTCACTCACTCACTCACTCACTCACACACACACATAGCATATTTTGTATTTTTCAGTAGCCTACGTATAGTTTGTGTGTGTTCTTTCATCAGTCATAATAGTAACACCATTCTATTGTTTTTGACAATTTCCTCTATCATAACTGTTATGATTTCAATCGGTTCACTGTTGTACACTGTTTGTAGATGTATTCAAGACAATCTTATATTGATCAGTACTATGACATGCTACATTACATTGATACGTTATACATAATGTCATAAATTATCGACAAGACACACTAATAGTTACTATGGTATTTCACAGTGTAAAACAAATAGTCTAGTTACTACTTTGATTTAGATAGTTTGGTACCCCAATTTACATACACAGAATCTGTCTAAGTCAAGTACAGGGTCTGTTTATCATTACCGAGAATTATATAAACCGTTAAAATTCCTCAGATCATATCTGTTCGAAAAATATGAAATAACCTGTTCACAGATTAACTGAACTGCAAATGATCAGTATCTTATTGGCATATTTGCGGATTGTCTCGATATCGACACTAAGTCACAAGTCTTTAAAGCAGAGATAGATTGTGGTGAGCAGTGGTATCCAGGATCCAGATTTCGTTCTATTCAGGAGTTGTAGGTACACTCAGCTGACGAGTTCCAAGTAAGACGAAACGTGGGGCCACTATCCATCTCTGTTTAAAGCATCTATGATACTGTAATGTTATTATTATTCTAGTACATGTGTAGTGATTTACATTTGTGCTGATCATTTTGTCTAAGAAGATGGTGAAAACTTCATGATTAAATCGATCGGCTTAATAATATAACACTCATCGACATCTAAAGTGTGTAGAATGTACAACTTGACAAGCAATTACATAACTCTCGGCTTTTCCCAAATGATACAATAAACTGCTTACATAACTATATGTTATAACACCTTTTTAAGTTTCATTTTTACTCTTCCAGTGAATCTCCTTTACCGACAGTCGATGTAGTTTTCCGTAATTCAAATGAAGCTGATCAATGGAGTCCAGTTGTTGAAGTTCTTACGGATGCAGAAATGGAGAAAAAGATACGCGATCAAGATCGTAATACCAGGTAAGCATCACTATAGCCCCAACCATAGAAAGTTACAATCAAATAAATCATTAATGCATAGTAAAAGGAAGTCCTTTGAGTTTGACAAATCAACATATGTTGAATTCATGATCTATCTTTAAGTTTAATAGTCTTGTGAATCCAGCAAGTTTGACATGGGACTATAATATACGGGCAACCTTTGACCGACTCTAAGGTGATGTCCACGTAATAGCTAGGTCTAAATGAGAGTTATAAACCAGTATGGGGAATTAGAATTATGATTTACAGTTGATGATTAAGGTTAGGAATTAGACTTATGGTTTTTATCACGAAATGACATCAGCTATAATGTCAAAGTAGTATTTAACCAAATAAGTGAATGAATTTCGCGCCATAGTCCAAGACCTGATAACCTAAATCTGATTGGTTCTTCCATAAATAATAGTCTTGCCGTTGAAATTGTGATATTTTCACATTCCTCACTGTACACCATGAGGTACAGAAAATGATCAATACTGGTTAATTTGAATATACTATGTTTAGTAGCTGTTGGGGATGTTAGATCCCCAGAACCCACTTGGTAAATGCATTATTTTTGTAATTCTATTTTGAGTTTCTTGTTTTCGCGCCATAAGCACCCATTTTTACTTTCATGTCATATTTCCCACTTGGGAGGACCTTAAATGCTATTGCGTCGTTGTCTCTTTCACTATGCTATTTTGTAACGTTCCCCAAGGACATCTTTATGCTGGATATATATACTTGAGTTGTGCTTGTTGTTGTTGTTCGTGCTTCTAGCTGCTTGTGGAATATATTTCCCTCTTCTGAATGTGGACTCCTCTTTCTAGTTAGCAGGGTTGGGACACATCGGAATAGCTAGCTTATCGGTCATTGTATCACTGAGTCTTTGTTCTGTTCACAGATTAGGTGAATTTGCAATCTCGTCAAGCATAGAAGTTTGATAGACATATCATTGTTAATTATTCCTTTCTACATTTTATGTAAACAACTGAATGAATTTTGATGGACGGAAAAAATAGCTCAGATTGATTACATTTGTGTGACTATCTTCGTGAGGGGATTTCCGAAGTTGTAGTGAGAAACCGTGACCAGTAGAGCTAATCTGTGTCGGGTAGGGATAGTACAATGGAAGATGGTTGCGCAGTTTCGTGGATTGGTTGAGGATAGACATTAACCCTATTTGACGCTGACTCAATGGTTAGGCGTTCGCGCGCGGGACTAAGGGCCCTGGGTTCGAATCCCGGGATCGTGGATGTGCACCGCTGAGGAGTCCCACGATAGGACGAAACGACTGTCCAGTACTCCTAGGTTTTCAATAGTGGTCTAACATCAATCGATTCATGATCTGAATCAAAAACTTAATAATATCCACAACCCTATACTGTTAATTATAAAATTTAGTCCTTTGTTTTCACTTATCATCGGTTCGGACAAACAAACAAGCACACTGTTTTCATTTTTATCTTTCGAATTTATGTTGAATGAGAAGTAAAGTCAACTAGATTCACTTTTATTGATGAGTTTCAAATTTATTTTGGGCATGTTTTGTTGTTAGTTCCTATTATATATTCCTAAACATACCATAAATACTCGTTTAGATTGTGATATGGCATCTATTACTACTAGTGAAAATGTTGTACTGTCAATGAACAAAGGCCCATTCAGATTTATTAATTATTTATGATCATAAATAATCATGCACACTACCTATTTTAAACAACTATACGTAGAACAAAATTGCGATCAGCTGACTTAATAACATGGCACAAATCCATGAAGTCATTGACAAGTGGATTGAGCCATGTTGGTAGGTATAGACTAACTGGTTGGGATCTATGAGACGATAGCAACCGATGGTTAGAGACCTCGAATGATATGGCTCAAAATCGTTTTCAATGCTGTGAGCAGGTGCATCCGCTCTTTGTGTTCTCCCAAATTTTAATCTTCTGAATTCTTCATGTACATTTTTTTCTCCCTCCAAATTTATTTCACTGGAGTGTACTCCTTGAATAACATCTTCAAACTCTAATCTTTCCGATTACTGCTTATACTTTTACTACCTCTACCAATACGGAATTTGAATTGACAATTGTATCTCTGTGCTAATGTGGTATGGCAAAGTGAACTGATGTACGTATGTACGAAGTTCTACGTTGTTGCTGACTGACTGATTCTCCTATGTATGAGTCTGATATGAAAGTTTTCTCAGTTCGTACGAAAAAGTTACTTCAACTAATCTAAACTCCTAGCAGATTACTTGATCTAAACTTTATTTGGATTATTTCGTCAACCACACATTTTTCATGTTTAAAAGTTTATATACCTATCGTATCCTCATTTTCACCATGCATTTTTCTTTCCGTTCCCTAGACGAATGCGTCGTTTGGCCAATGCACAACCCAATTGGTAGACATTTTGTTTTCTACAATGTTTTCAGTGTTGGTGTACACATTTCTTAAAAAGTTTTCCAAACAATAATAATAACCTATTTATGTTAAATCAGTATCTTTTATTTTTGAGACAGTTAGTCATCTTCGAGTGTAGGACCAGGCACATATATGCGTCGGTTTAAGTTGCCGTACCTTATTGAGCACAACAAGATGAACACCAAATTCATAGAAGCAGCCAATTCAATGGTGGTAATGTATAGAGAAAAGATTGCATCTAAGGATGTAATACAGGGAGAAATAGTTCGTAGGAAGAAAAGGTATAAAGTATAAATTCATTTTGTATTGTTTGTTCGAATTTTCCTATTGGTGTTTAGGACTGCAATTGATCAATCTCTTATTGTCATACGTGCATCCTACCTCGATTATTACCTTGAGTAACTAGCATTATAAGCAAACAACATCAACTCTAGGATGCAGGTACATCCCGAATAGGACGAAGTGCGCGTCTTGGATTCCACTGCTGGCCCATGTCACTCAAAGTATCCAATTATTGGCTACGATAGTCTGCATCTACCAACATGGCTCAGATCAGAAGTTAGTGACTTTATAGTCTGATGCCACGTTCTCGTTTGGTCACCACAAACTTCCTTCCGACCATCTCCAACACTGGTCAGCATTTCACGTCGTGGTAATTGGTGTTCAGGCATACGCAACACGTGGCCCAACCATCTCAGTTGATGAAGATTAACAACCTCATCAAGTGATTTACCGTCATTCCCTAATACCCTGCGTCTAACATCATCATAAATAAACTTAGCAAATATGTTAGCTGATTGATTCGGAAGAGTGTTTCCGCGTTATTACTGATTAAGGTTTTCTATCGACAGCATTATATATAAAATAACAGCCTGAAAGAGATCGGTGATAATGTTTCGCTAATTGAAATCACCTTTCTAAATGGCCAATTTTAAGAGAACAAGCGTAGAGTAGTAGTAGCGGTAGTTTATGCGGATCAACATGTTTTAAATGAAAGCTACACTAACTGTATCCGTTGCCTCAACCAAAAACTAACTCGTTCAATATTGACATACATTTATTGCATATGAGCGGTTTGAATACACAAGTGTACAATGTGCTACCGGAAATGTTAATATCCCATGACTTTACGATGACTATCACCGATTCTGTGTTTTCCAGGGCTAAGTAATTGTGACATAAATCGATACCATTCCTTTTCGAACTGACATTTGTATTAACATACTATGAACCTTGAAATCCCTAGTATTCAAATGGTTTCGGTAACAAATAAAATATTTGTAGAAAATTGATGTAAAAATCAATGTATTTAGTAAATGGATAATCACAGGAAAGTTAGGTCATTCATTAGATCTTGATAAAGTTTTTATACAACTTAGCCTAATACGAATTATATTCATCGATTATCCAATTGTCTTTCACGAATATTCACGGACTCGTCAAATTTAATCACATAAGCAGTTCCCTTGTACCAGGTTGCCGTAACTGTACAAGGCTATAGAAAAAAAAGAAAGAAAGGCAATTTACTTCTTAAGATGAAATATCCAATGGGGTTTCCATGTATTATAGAACATACATACAATCTGTATGTTCATAATAAACACTTACTAAACTCTTTCTTTTTGATGGAGTCTCGTTTTCTACGCTGGATAGTTTGATTATGGAGTTCTCATCGTCCTTGTGAACAACATCATCAACGCAAACTTCTTAATTAATATTGACTAAGGCTGTTTTTCTTCAGTGAATCGACTTTACAAATCATAAGTTTTAAAGAGGGTTTTCCAATAAGTCAAAAATTTTCTAACCCTTATAATGTGAGTGCTAATTTTATGATTGAAAAATTTCTTATTTGATCACATAAACATTGTTACAAAGAGGCACCAATTAGTTATGCACCACATAAATCATTCGATTCATGTGAGGGTTACGATACTGCCTGGGTACCCGAATCGAAGCAGATGGTTTCCTTAGGGGGCCACACCCAGAGCTCTCCTTTCTAGGTCTCTCCAATTGTTGTTCATTCTTTTCTCATGTCTGTCTCCATTTCTCGGCGTAATGTGTTCTATCGTCTTACTCTTTTCCTTTGGCATTGAGGATTCCAAGTGAGGGCTTGCTTTGTGACACAGTTGGGTGCTTTCTTCAATGTGTGTCCTATCCACTTCTAGCGCTTCTTCCTCCGCTGGAATCTGGTTTGTTCTCTCTTACAGTAGGTTGTTGCTGATAGCGTCTGGCCAATGGATCCGAATTATTTTGCGTAAACAACTGTTAATAAACACTTGTATCTCCTGGATGATGGCTTCCGTAGGTCACCAAGTTTCCGCTCCGTACAGTAGAACTGTCTTGACATTTGTACTGATAATTCTGAATTTGGTGTTGGTCGACAGACAGTTGTTTTGAGTTCCAGACATTCTTCAGTTGCAGATATGCTGCTTTTGTTTTGCCGATCCGCATACTCACACCTGCATCAGATCCACTGTGTTCAATGATGCTGCCCAGGCATATAAAGGTGTGATTCGGTTGGTGCATTCTGTGTTGTATCGAAGAATCTTGCTTTTCCCTTTGTGTATGTTGAGACATACTGCTGCTACACTGGTCGACTTCTCTTGTATTTGTTGTAACTTGTGCGATAGAAGAGCCAAATAATCTGCGAAGTCTAGATCGTCCAACTACATACTAGCTATCAACTGTATCCCGTACTTCTCCCCAGATGTTGACGTCTTCATAATCCAGTCGATCATCAGAAGAAAGATAAAGGGTGAGAGTAAAAAACATTGCTTGACACCGGTCTTTACTTGGAACGAGTCTGTGAGCTGACCTCCATGCACAATTTTGCAGTTTAAACCATCATAAGTATTCCGTGTGATGTTGACTATATTCTTTGATACCCCGTAGTGCTGAAGAATCACTCATAGTATTTTACTGTCCATGCTATCCAGTTATAATAGTAAACAATATGAATCCGAATTTTTCAAGTGTTAATGTATGGTATTTTTATTAGCTGAAATGCTTCGGTAATACTGTGGTGTATGCTATTGGTGCAGACAAATATAAGTAGTATGTATCATCAATCGAAAATGAAATATCTGGCGGCAGAAAATTAAGAAGATCGAATAAAAGAGAACAAGGAATGATCGGTGTGGAAACGAAAGGACAATGAAGTCTGAGACGATTGATTGACATTTTACAAATGAAGTATTTACTGTATGGTTCTCAGATTTTACTAAGATATCCTGTAATTTTGTATTCAAATACATGCAATTATCCCCACTTGTGTTCTCGTTCACTACATATGGTATCGCTACCAACCACAAGGACGGGAGGGGTGCTGTTCTAGGGACGCCGATGTGGGCTCGGCACTGAGGTACTAGTTGGTGTGGTATGTGCTAATTATGTCGACACAAGTAGTATGTAATAATAGTCATGAATAGAATGTCTCACAGCAGAAGATCGAGGAGGAAAGAACGGGAACAGAAGGCAATTGGTATGAAAATGAAGGAACAGTCAAGTTTGAGACAATTGATTGAAGTTTGTGCTGATGAAGTCGTTCAGAAGAACGATGAAAGCTCCACGACCAAACCATCCAGCTCAGAGAACAAAACTCCACCAAGATGTTCATTCATTCGTTGGTTAAGTTGACAGGTAGTACGCCCGATATAGCTGTCGTAACAGGAGCAGCTGCATTTTTAATATACATGAATACTTATTAAGAAAATGTTAAACCAATCAAGGCAATATGGGTCAATAATCACAATGAAATAGAAGAAGTCACCACACATAATAAGTGAAAATGCAAATTGATAATAGGAAGGCAGATGTACTGATAGTAATAAGAATAATAAAATAAAATACGATAACAAAAGTCATATCAATAGTCAAACATTGGAAATAGAAGGTCCAACGTACATAAATAGAATTACAATAGTCATTACCAAACATTAAAACCATTACGTAATAAGAGGTGAGTAAATAATTAGATAGTGAAGGATACAAACGGAAATTACAAACAAATACTAGATATGGATATAAGGTCAGTGATAACAAAATAAAAGTCTACTAGTATAGGGGTTGTGGAGATTATTACGTTTCTGATTGAGATCGTGCGTTCGCACGCGAGACCGAAGGCCCTGGGTTCGAATCCCGCGAGCGGGATCGTGGATGCGCACTGCCGAGGAGTCCAACAATAGGACGAAACGACCGTCCAGTGCTTCCAGGTTTACAAAGGTGGTGGTCTAACATCAATCGGTCCACGATCTCAATCAAAAAATAAAAGTCGTTTGTTAATATATAACTTGCCACAAAAGGGATAGGGGGGTTACGAATTTCTTCTGTACACATAAATTAGGGTTATATGTACGAATTCCTATGGCTTCAGCTATATGTAGGAGGCGGGAACAAACTCCGTTGGGATACGATGGAGGTACATGATAGATCACACAAAATGCTTCCGATTTGTCTACAGTATGACCGCCATGAATAAGATATGCCAAGATAGAACTGTGCATTGTATTTATCTGGCACTTTATGAACTAAGCTATTAGATGTTCATTCATTCGTTGGTTAAGTTGACAGGTAGTACCCCCGATATAGCTGTCGTAACAGGAGCAGCTGCATTTTTAAATGCATATTGAGGAGGCCAACTCAGGTAACTTATCCTTCGTTGGTCGACTCGAGAAGGTCAATGCAAGATTGACTGTGTAGAATGTCCTGCTAATTACTTTCGTTAACCTATCTTTGAGAGTATCACTAGCCACATCTCCGTTGAATTGTATTTTCATGTATAAAGACTTCTTTCGAACAGTAGAAATCTCCGACTTATTTTTTATGTTATACATGTACTTCTTAATGAATGCACTGGGGTAGCCGATCTCGGTCAGTGAGTTCTTAACTATAACGTTTTCAGATTTTACCAAGATATTCTGTAATTGTGTGTTGAAGTACAATTGATTGTTCCCACTTATGTGTTTTTGTTCACTATAATACAAGTGACCTTCCATATTAAAAACAATTATATAACCATTAATTTTAGAAAACCCCCAAATGCCCTGTTACGGCCGAGAGTGGGGAGAGTCCGCTCTCCCTCTCCAAATGCACTCACATGACCAATCGTATATAACCTCTGTCAGGGAAGTCCTACTCACTTCTTTCTCCTGACATTACTATTGCATACGAAATTGAGAGGACGGAAAGCGAATGTCCGGCGCTTTAACCGGGTCGGTGGATATAGAGAGTCCACCGAGGGGAGTTGGAAAACCCTCATTCCAAATCAATGGTGCACATGGACTTCAGTATCCTGAATGAACAAATGGCGTATGAACAAATCGTTGGTCACCGGTTAACATGGGACTGCATCTCCTCACGATGCTCCACTGCCTTGTGGATTAGACCTTTAGGTCGAAGGCTCCGTGTGTGACCCCTTAAGAAAAGCACCTGCTTCGGTTAGGGCATTCGGGCAGTATCACAGCCCACACACAAATCAAATGATTTGTGTGGTGCATATGTATTTGGTGCCTCCTTGTACCAATATCTATGTGTTCAAATAAATAATAAATTCTAGAAAACCAAAACAGAAAAAGAAACAGTTTACAACATAAATAACTTACAAAACCAATAGTTGATAAGAATGCTTCAACAATTCCAGCATTAAACGCTGCAATATTCAATGGAGCAGCTAAAATTTATTGAATAAAATATAATTAATTAATTAAAAAGAAAAAGTGATGTGTGTGTGAGAATGATAATGACTGATTGTTTGCTTAGTCAGACAATGTAGATAGTCTGACAGGTGTCAGATGAGTTATATATTACCCCTATCCTTATTATCATTACTGATCGATTGATTGGTTATTGATTCCTGTTGGATTGTGTCGGGTTTTTGGTGTGGAAATATATTGACATTCTAGTCAGGTTAATCATATGTTCTTGATCATCTATCTGAGGTGTATTGAAGTCTTGTAGAATAAATACACTGAGATTGAGGGGGGTGGGGTGAAAATCTAGTGTAGATATACATCTAAGATAAACGTGTAAAGACTTCACTTCTATCTGAAGTTTGTGCTGATGATGATGTCGTTCAGGCGAAGAACGCTGAAAGCTCCACGACAAAACCATCCAGCTGAAAGAACAAAATTCCATCAAAATAATAAAGCCTTAACTGTAAATAACAACATTAGACGTAATCAAAAAACCCGATTATTATCATAAAATAGAGAAAAAGAAGAACAAGAACAAGAAAGAGAAACTTACATGTTTTACGTTTTTCATCTTTTTCTTCATAAGTAAATCGAGTAAATCGATTCACTATTGGTTCATGTTCAATCATATAAACTAAAAAATGAGTTTTATTTTATTTCAATTTTACAAATATTTTCATCAATTCCATCACGTTCTAATTCATCAGCTTCTTTATTGAATAAATTTTTCCAAAAATTTGATTTTAAAAAAATTAAGGCATTATATAAACGTATATCACGTTTAGTTGATTTATCCCGTAGATAAACTACATCAATCATACGTTCACCAACGAATTTACCAAAATCTGATAATCTATTGAAAGAAAAAGAAAAAAAAAAAGAAAAATTAGCACTATTCGTTGGTGTTTATTTTCAATGAGGTCGGCGATCTCATACCCCAACCCACTTGTTTAACCCGAACTTCGAAGTGGGGCAGTAATTTTAAAAGAGCTACATACGCAGAGTTATAATTAGAAAGAAAAAAAAACGGACTACTAGTTGGTGTTTGTCTTTTAATAAGGTTGTTTTCTACAAGATGGTGTTGCTAACTTTATGTTCAACCCTCCTCCTTTACCTGGGCTCGGCATCGGGGTAAAACAGGTGGAGTTATAATTTTTAAAAAACAGGACTATAGAAATTGTCAATGATCTGGTGGTACAGTCGATAATGGAGAGAAACTAATCGAAATGTTCTCATATGGGTTAGTGGTTTATTTATTTTAACACATAAATATTGGTACAAGGAGGCACCAAATACATATGCGCCACCCAGATCTCATTTGATTTGTGTGTGGGCTGTGATACTGCCCGGGTGCCAAAATCAGAGCATGTGGTTTTCTTAGGAGGCCACACATGGAGCCTTTGACCTGAAGGTCTGATTAAACGTAAGGAGATGCAATCCCATGGTAGCCGGTGACCAACGATTGGTTCATACGCCATTCGTTCCTTTAGGATACTGGAACCCATGTGCACAATTGATTTGGAATGAGGGTTTTCCAACTCCCCTAGGTGGACTCTCCATATCCACCAACCCGGTTAAAGCGCCGGACATTCGCTTTCCGTCCTCTCAATTTCGTAAAGATTCACCTAAAGGTGTTGGGAAACTATGATTCCAAACTAATGATGTACTTGGGTTATAGGATCCTGAGAGAACAAATGAGGTATGAACTTATTGTTGGTCACTGGCTAACATTGAACTGCATTTCATAGCGTTGCTCTACTATCTTGTGGATTAGACCTCTAGGTCAAAGGTCCGCAGCGTGTCTTCCTAAGAAAACCATCTATTTCGGTTTGGACACACGGGAGGTATCTCAGCCCATAGATATTGAATGATAACTATTTATGCGGTGCATAGAAATCTTGGTACCCCTTTCCACCGATGTTTATGTGCCTAAATAAATAAGTTTAGTAAGAGACTGTATGATGAGTGCTAGTGATGTTGACAGAAATAAGTAGTATGTATCATTAATTGAAAGTAGAAAGCCTGGCGACAGAAGGTTGAAAAAATCAAAGAGAACGAGAACAGAGAGTGATTGGTATGAAAACGAAAGAGCAACAAAGTCTAAGACAATTGACGGATATTTTGAAAATGAATTATTACTGTATGTTTCTCAGATTTTACCAAGATATTCTGTAATGGTTGTCCCTACCTGTGGTATCGTTCACAACAACTGTGTAGTAAGTTGGATAACATGTATCTGAAAGTGTTCTGGCACTTAGGGAGCCCCTCTGAGGCTGCCACCGGCCCCAAGCCCAGATAAAAGAGGAGAGTTGGACATGGGGTTAGCGACCCCATTCCCCTAGGAAACTAACTCGCTAACTACAAACCAATTATACTTAACCTCCAAATACTAATAGATAATCTCACTATAATTGGAATTTTTCATGGCTTTAGTATAAATTATTCACGTTACACAAGAAAAACTCACCTTTTCTGAACAAGATCCATACTGGATACATTACGCATTGAATATTTGACTAACTCCACAAATAAATAAGCAAAAGATGCTATATTAACCTTAGGAAATTTATATAGTATAAGAAAATTACAACTTACATCACCACGTAGTTTAGTCAGACTTTTTTCTAAAATTGCAGCAGAGTTTTTTGGATTACCATAGTTCATATTGACAAATCTAAAAAACAACATGGAAAAAATCGATAGATACAGAGTAATTATGTACAACAACCATTGCCAGGGAAGTCTTATTCACTGTCTTCTCGCGGCATTACTATTGTTTACGAAATTGAGAGGGTGGAAAGCGAATGTCCGACACTCTGACCAGCTTGGTAGACATGAAGGGTTCACCTGGGGGAGTCGGAAAACCACCATTTCAAATTAATGGTGTACATAGGCTCCATGAACCTGAAGGGACAAATGGCGTATGAACAAATCGTTGGTCACCTTTTACCATATAACAACATCTCCTTACGTTGGCCCACTGCCTTGTGGATTAGACCTTTAGGTCTAAGGCTTCGGGTGTGACCCCCTAAAGAAACCATCTGCTTCGGTTCGGGCGCCCGGGCAGTATCCCAACCCTCACATGAATCGAATGATTTATGTGGCGCATAACTAGTTGGTGCCCCCTTGTTCCAATGTTTATGTGTTTAAAAATAAATAAATAAAAAACAAACGATTACCCAAGTCTGTAACACGATAATAAATGACAAAGTCGATATGTTACAGAGATTATTTTTTACCAGAAATTAACAAAGTTGACACAATAACAGACTGTAAAGATGGTCACGAACAAGATTGCAAGGTAAAAGCCGGTTGTTTGTAGTAGACGCTTAATCCCCTTCATTTGCTAGTAATATCAAACACATACCAGGAGATTTAGTTGGATATGTCTTTCCTGCTTTGTGTTTAACACTCCACTCCCTAATCTCAGGTCGTGCACCCCACAAACGCCTCATCAACTCAAGAGTGATGGGATGAAAAAACTCTTTTCCATGCACTATTACTCGAATTTGTCAAGACGTTCGATACTATGAGATCGTTTACTTTTGTCTAACAATAATATCTGCCAAAATCTATTAATTGACAGTATCTCAGACAAAAGTTTTGTTCTCTTATACTTCTGGGGGGTATCATAAGAAAAATTCACAAGTGGAACGGATCAAATGAAATAAAGAGCACTTTGTCACATGAAATCGCCTTTTCTTTCAAAAAGAAAACAACTTTGGTGGAGTTTTGTTCTCTGAGCTGGATGGTTTGGTCGTGATGAAAGCTCCACGACCAAACCATCCAGCTCAGAGAACAAAACTCCACCAAAATCATCCACCTGAGCTACAAATCTTCTCCACCATCTCGAAAACAACAACTATGCGATCCTAAATTCACAGACATACACACGTCATTATTGAATAAGTAGTCAAAAAAAAGAATCAAACAATTACTTCTGGATAGATGTATTATTCGAAATAGAACAAAAATCAAATGTATATACATAGTCAATTTATCACAATATTTCATTGACATATAGAATCAAGTAAGAGAAAACCTCTTGTATAGATCCAAATCTGTAAATTTCCATGCGGAACAGATTCCAGCTATTATAAGTATCATATAACCCACGTAAAATGCCTATAATAGTAAGAAAAATAAGATTGATAATAAAATGAAAACATGTTTATATATATGTATATATGAATATAGAGATGAAGATTATATCAATCGTCGAAATCCCTTGTTTCAGATCAGTTGCCACTACCTTTTTTCATTACGCCTGTGAATCCTCGTGGAGCATAGGCCGCCAAGTAGAATTCTCTAACCAACTCTATACTCCAATCTCCTCCCCAGTTGTTGCCAAATGTTATTCATCGTTTTAATATCTGTGTCCTACTCCAAGCCCAATGTCTTCTTTCGTCTGCATTTTTCATGTTGCCATCCGGATGTTAAGTTAGGGCTTGCACTGTGATGAAGTTTCGTGATTTCCGAAATGTATTTCCTACCCGCCTTCAGCGTTTCTTCCTAATTTTCACTTCAGCTTGGAGCCGATTTGTTCTCCCCCACAGTAGGTTGTTGCAAGTGATAACCAGCTAACGAACATTGAGTATCTTGCGTAGACAACTATTTATAAATACTTGACGTTAATAGTGAAGATTCTGATTTTGATATTGGATAAAATTTGTTTTGACTTCCATATGCTCTTCAACAGTAAGAATGCTGTCTTTGATTTGCCAATACTTGCCTTCACGTCTGCATCAGATCCTCATTGTTCATCGATGATGCTAACCAGGCGCGTGAAAGTTTCCACATCTTCCAGAGTTTCTCTATCGAGGGTGATTGGGTTGGTGTTCTCCGTGTTGTATTTAAGGAACTTGGTTTTTTTGGTGTGTATGTTGAGGCCTACTGTTGTAGAGACTGTTGTTACATTCGCTGTCTTTACCTGTGTATAGAATAGAAGAGCTAGATCATTTGCGAAGTCCGAATCGTCTAACTGCATGCAAGCTATCCATTGCATTAAGTGCTCCCCTTCAGTTGTGGAGGTCTTCATAATCCAGTCAACCAGCAGAAGAACGAAGAATCGGAGTAAGCGGCTTTGTCTGACACCAGACCCCACTTGGAATGCATCTGTCAGCTGTCCTCCATGCACCACTTTGCAGTGTAGTTCATCGTAAGAAGTCAGTGTGATATTGACGATCTTCTTAGATACACCATAGTATCGAAAGAGGTTCATATATCCACACTGTCAAACGCCTACTCATAATCAAGGAGGTTGATATACAGTGATGAGTTCCACTCAATAAATGGTTCAACAATGATACGTAGTATCGCGATCTATAAGCCATGATAAACAGTGGCCAATTTTATAAGCCATGCTTAATAACCATATACTGATGAAGAAAAAACAGTTCCCAAGTGCACTCACCCATTGATTGGCAGACGGACATTCTGTCTGTACTACAGGTAGCACAATTTTGGAAGGGTACATCAAGTTTTCTGTATATATGTTAGTGTTTTGTTAAGTACGGACCCAATAGATAAGTTGAGGCTTCAAATACAAGTGAGGTAGTCAACGAACTGACACAGACTAGATCTGAAACAACATTTTGTATTTAAAGGATGAGAAACTCATCCCAAACATTCTTGTATGATTTCTTTAGGCATAAGGTATATATAATAAACTGAACCCAGTTTCCTATGCGCTTTTTGTAATACATAGATTTCTGTAGTAACAAATGAACGTGAATCTTTGTGAAATGGTGAACAATATGCAGTTGGTTATAGTCTTCCCTCTTTCAAGACTGAAAGTCCTGCATCCGATTCCCGCGTGTGGGATTTCGGACACATACCACAGCCATTGAGGAATCCCACACTAGAATAGAACGATCATTCAGTGCATGTAGGTTTTAAATAGTGGTCTACTTAGATCGGCTCATGAATTCATTCGCATCTACCAAACAATATACATTGTATGAGTTACAAATACTATGCCCCCAAATGTCCTAGTACAGCCGAGGGCCGAGAGAGCTCTCCCTCTCCAAATGCTCTCACATGACCATGCGTATACAGCCACTGTCAGCGAAGTCCTACTGACTGTCTTATCGCGACAGATGGATTTTTTACGAAATCGAAAGGACGAAAAGCGAATGTCCGATGCTTTTAACCGGGTTAGTGGATACAGAGAGTTCACCTAAGGGAGTTGCAAACTCTCATTCCAAATCAATGGTGTAAATCGGCTCCTGAATCCTCAGAGAACAAATAGTGTATGAACAAATTGTTGGTCACCAGCTACCATGGGACTGCATCTCCTCACGTTGCTCTACTACCTTGTGAATTATACCTCTAGGTCAAAGTCTCGAGGAGTGACCCACATGTTCCGGTTTGGACACCCAGGCAATATTTCAACCCTCACACATATCATCAAGTGACTTGTGTATTGCATAGGTATTTGATGCCTTCTTGCACTCACATTATAAAATAAAATATACATATATTATATTGATATTCAAAACAAATTTACTAACCAATGTTTTATCACTTCGTAATGAATTAATCAACGTATATATACTAAATTGATTTGGTTTTACCATAGTAGTATAATTTATTTTAGATAATTGAATTGAATTTTGTATTAATAAAGGTAAAGATGATAAATTGAAATTATTATCTGGGAAAACAATAGAATCCAATGGTCCAGAATCAATAATGATACCACGCATAAAAAATTTATCACATTCTATAATACGTACAAGTACTATACGACCATAAACATCCGGATCTTTTGGTAATAAAATCTATGAAAATAACCATAGAAATTGGAATAATAATTAAACAAATGTAAGCATTATTAGGGAAGTTACTTCACACCACCCCAAAGAAAAAAGAAACAAAATATATGATGTGTGAACGAGAACAGTAGTGATTGGTTGTCTGCCTAGTCAAACAATGTAGATAGTCTGTGCTGGGGACGTTAGATCCCCAGAACTCACTTGAGAAAGGACCTAATTTTGTTATTTTATTTAGAAAATTTGAATGTCTTTATTTTCGCGCCAAAGGCGCTCTTGTCACCTTCATGTCGTATTTCCCACTGGGAAATGTCTTAAATGCTATTGATCCGGTGCGTCTTTTGGTATGCTATTTGGTAACTATCCCTAAGGACAGTTTTGCACTGTATATATACATTTTGAATTGTGTTTGTTGTTATCACTCGTTTCTGGCTGTTTTGAAGAACATACTTCCCATTCCAAGCTCTGACTTCTCCCTCTAGTTAGCGGAGCTGAGACGAATCAATAGCTAGCTTACTGGTCTTTAGTCACCGAGTCTTGTTCTCGTTCGCAGATTAAGTGAACTCGTGATAGCTTCAAACATAGCAGTCTGACAGGTGTCAGATGAGTTATATATTACCCCTATCCTTATTATATTATTGATTGATTGATTGGTTATTGATTACTGTTGGATTGTATCGGGTTTTTGGTGTGGAAATATATTGACATTCTAGTCAGGCTAATCATGTGTTCTTGATCATATGAGTAGTATTGAAGTCCTGTAGAATTGGCACACTGGAAAGGAATCTAGTGTAGATATTTAAGGCAAATTAACTTGCCATACGTGTAAACGTGGGATATTATAGTAATTTTAATGGTTGAGATCATGAGTCAATTGAAGCTAGACCACCATGGAAAACCTGGAAGTACTGAACGGCCATTTCGTCCCATTGTGGGACTCCTCAACAGTGCGCATCCACGATCCTGTACGCGAACGTGGGTTCCAATCTGTGTCGGGTGTGAGACAGTTATCCCCCTCAGACAATAGATGAAGGGTTGAGCACAATTCAGTACCACTGAATGGAAAGATAACTTTAAGCCCATTCTTTGTCCTCAAGAGTCAGACGAATATAGGCAATGAAATCAAACAGACACTGGATTCGAGTCCCGCGTACGGGATCGTGGATGCGCATTGCTGAGGAGGTTGATACTAGGACGAAACGGTCGTCTTGTTCTTCCAGGTTTTTA